AGCCGCAGGAGGAGCCGGCGCTGCGCTGCGCTGCACCGAGAGCGGGGGAGCGCGGAAGGCTGGGCGGGAAGGAGGGGCGCGGCGAGCCGGCCGACGGCTGAGGAGCCCGGGCAGCGCCCAGGAGGCCGCGAGGGCACCGGGCGGGTCCTGGGGCCGGAGTGGAGGGACCCGGGGAGTCGGCCAGGGCGGGGCCGAGTCTGCCTGGGCAGTGACCGTGAATGGCGGCTCCCCTGGGAGTTTAGGAGCGTCCAAGGCTCCCACTCCAGCAGCGCAGGGCCCGACCTCCTTAGCTGGAGTTCCAGGCCTCCGCCCGGGTCTAACTGTGGTGTTCAAAAGTTCTGGCTTGGGCTTTCTCACTTGGATACTTCTGCATAATCTCTTGTTTCTCGCCTCCTGCCCAAACCCAAGTCACACCTCCATCAAGGCTGAGCGTGTCCAAGGGAGGCATCCCAAGTGGACACCACTGCCCCTTCTCCTTTCCCTGTAACATTTGCAGTTCTGCTGTTACTCATCTGCTCCCACTCCCACCCACAGCCTTGCGCATAGAACGTGCTTGACCCACGCAGACTTGTCGTGAGGCCATCTTCTCTTTTTTCCTTCCTACTGTCAATTATCTTTAAAATTGATTATGCCTCCTTTCTGCCATCTGGGTTGAAAAGAGTCTCAAAAGATGGAGGCGGAGTCTCTTTTTTTGACCCTACCCCAACACACACGAAAACAACCGCAGTATGTTGCACAGCCCTTAAGCCTGTACAACCAAAAAGGAATCGTTGGTTAGAGGCCAAGCCAAGGACATCCCTGGCGAAGCTGGGTCCCATCCTGTGCCACACCTCTGAGCCAGGAAAGCAAGAGGTCATGTATGGTCTCACTCTTGGAGGCTGACCACTGATTCTAAACCTCAACAAATCCCTCACCTGCCCTGGCCCAAGTCCGAACATCCGAACGTATTCACAATCTTGCTCCCACAAGTCCATATTTCCATCTGCCTCCACCCCACTCTCACTACACAGGACCCCTGCGCCTCCCAACTCTGCTTATGCAGCTCCTCCCCTTTATGCATATGCTAGAGGCGCTCCTGTCCGTTCCTCAAGACCTAGCTCAAACCTCACCCCTGCTATGGCTCTTCTTGATGACCCCGGAGCATTGTTATGCATCCGTATTGCAGCCCACAGTGAGCAGGTGCTATTTGTTTCCAGGGGAGGCGACAAAAGGGAAGTAGTCAAGAACAACAGCTCTGGAGACGAACAGCCTGGGTTCAAAGTCAGATTCTCACGCTTGCTAGCTGTGTGCCTGCTCACTGTGCCTTCATATCTCTTAGTGAGAATGAAATGAGCCAATCGATGTAAAGTGTGTATACCAGTGCCTGGCACGCAAAGTTCACTCCCTACATGTTACTTCTTGTTGCTACCAGAAGTCAGGGTGTCCTGGGGGGGTGCATAGTGACTGGAAAGGGGGGCTTCTGGGTTTCTGGTCCTGTTCTATTCTCGACCTGGGCACGGGTTTTAGTTTGTGAAAACTCAGTTTAGTTTGTGAGCTGAGGTTCACATCCTTATGATACGTGTACTTTTCCATATGTATATTGTACATTAATACAGGTTGTTTTAAAAAGTTACCAGCTAAGACCGAGAGAGCTCTACTCTCCTTGAGAACAGGAACGAAGTCTTACTTATCCTGACACCTTGCGCTGTGAGTGCTCAGCTAATAGTTGTTGAACTGCCCTGAATGGATCGCAAGCAACAGAAACCAACGGGGAGGTGGGATCAAGAGGGGCACGCCCACGTTCATTCTCTGCAGCGCCAGGGAACTCGGGCACCTGGACCCTAGCTAAAGAGAGGGGCCTCCAGACTTTTCTGTCTTTCAGGTAGGGAAGTCCTTTTCCTGGGTTTGTTTTAAAAAGGCAGAGGTTCAGCCCTGGGCTCAGACCTGGACATCCCAGCTGCCTGAGGAGGGGCCTCTGGGAAACCCATGACTCTTCACCCTTCCTCCAGCAGCCTCGTGTCCACCTGGCATGTGAGAAAGGTAGAATCATGGATCCTTCAGCACATTGGCTGTGCCCTGGTGATGGAGTTTGGAATTCTCCTTTCAGGCAGCATGAGGTGACATTTTTACAGTGGCAAAGTCCCCTTACTGTGCCTTGGCTGGGCCCATTCCGCTGCTGGACGATCTGCCACTCTGATTCCCCACTGCATCCCTGTCTCAGGATGGACGCCACAAGAGCAAGTGCCCTCCTTGGGCCCATGCACGGAAAGTCAGACGGAGCTGGGGTGGGGCGAGCTGGATACTTCCGAAGCAAGCTCAGAGCTCTGACGGCATGCTGGAACGGAGTGCCCAAGAGGTGTCATTGCTCATGGGAATTCACGTTCCTTTCTTCCAGGTTAGGAAATTATAGGGTTAGGCAGGCATGTGCTTCAAGCAGATTATTACACTGGGTTTTTATGGGGCTTTAAGTATACCTGGGTCATTTTTAAAAATAGAGAAAAAGAAAGCTTTGTTCAATGATGAATCCACTTGGCAGCACCCAGACCAAGTGCAGTTTGTGCCCTCTAGAGCAGATGTGAGGAGTCCTTATCCCAGCCCTAACCTCCGCTGAGGGTCTCATGATGAACCTATTAGGTGCATCCTGCTGCAGATGAGGAAGAAGGGAACTACTGTTTATCAGATGCCTGATATCTGCCTGCCATTATGCTAGACACTCACATACACTGCTGCTGTTTCTCCTGCAAGTTGGATATTGTTTAGAGGAGAAAACGAAGGCTTCAAGAAGTCAGATAACTTGCCCAAAGGCACACAGATGGTGAGCAGCAGATCTGGGTTTCAAGTTCTGAGCCTGTGCTCATTCCACCCCACTATGATGGTTCTCCAAGTACCTAAAAACTCCTACATCATTTAGATACCATTTGTGTAAGAAAGCCGTCTGGAAATTTCTACAAAGGGGTTTTCTCACAATGATTATTTAAGGCTCGATCTGCACAACAGAAAGTAAAAATCAGGTGATTTCATTCAATACTATCCAGGGAAATAATGGTCATTAATATTATATACGAAGTATTTCTGGTTGTCATTCTTTGGGGTACTTTGCACTGGTCTGAATCCTCTTTGGCCAATAAAATGTGAGTAAAAGTGACATGCATGACTATAGATAGAAGCTTTAAGAGCCAGTGATCTGCCCACCACATTCTTTTCCCCAGCCCCTGCAACTGTGAATGATGTAGACTCTACCAGGCCAGGTCCCTGAGTGACTCTACCAACTGACATTGGACTTGTAGCAGGAGTGAGAAATAAACCACTGAGGTTGGGTTGTTTGTTACTGCAGCATAACCTCACCTCTCTTATCTCATAAGAAATCAGATACAGTTCTGCATATATCAACTTCCAATAAAAAATAATCAAATAGGATTCTTCTCAAACTAAGTGACAACTAAAAATAAGGGCAAGATGCATATTCAGTGTGTCTTTAAGGCACTAAGAAATAAAAAAAATATTTTTAAAAACCACACGTAAGGGTCACAAAGCAATTCAATAGAGAAAGAAGAGTCTTTTCAACATATGGTGCTGGGACAGCAGGTATCCCCACGCAAAAGAATGAAGTGGGACCCCCTACCTCACACCATATATAAAAGTTAACTCAAAATGGATCAAAGACTTAAATGTAAGAGCCAAAACTACAAAACTCTTAGAAAACATAGAGATAAATCTTCACATCCTTGGATTTGGCAATGGTCTCTTAGATATGACATCAAAAGCACAAGCAACCAAGGAAAGAAATAGATAAATTGACTTCATCAAAATTTAAACTTTTGTGCTTCAAAGGACACTATCAAGAAAGTGAAAAAGACAACTCATGGAATGGGAGAACATATTTGCAAATCATATATCTGATAGGGTACCTGTCTCTAGAATATAAAAAGAATTCTTAGAGCTCAAAAGGAAAAAGAAAAATAACCCAATTAAAAAAAAATGGACAAAGGATCTGAATGGACATTTCTCCAAAGAAGATATACAAGTGGCCAATAAGCACATGAAAAGACGCTCAGTGTCATTAGTTATTGGCGAAATGCAAACCAAACCACAGTGAGACACCACTTCATACCCACTAGGAAGGCTATAGTTGAAAAGATAGATAATAACAAGTGCTGGTGAGGATGTGGAGAAATTGAAACCCTCATACCCTACTGGTGGGAATGTGAAATGATGCGGCTGCTTTGGAAAACAGTCTGGCAGTTCCTCAAAAGATTAATCATAGAATTACCATATGACCCCACAATTCCACTCCTATGTATATACCCAAGAAAAATGAAAACAGATGTCCATACATATGGACATTTATTTGGCATTAAAAAGAGTGAAGCACTGACACATGCTACAACGTGGATGAACCTTGAAGACATTATGCTAAGTGAAATAAGCCAGCCACGAAAGACCACAGATTATGTGATTCTGTTTATATGAAATGTCCAGAAGGGGCAAATTTATAGAGATTGAAAGTAGAGTAATAGTTGCCTTGGACTGACGGGGAGAGGCTTGGGGAGAATGGGACATGACTGTTAAGGGGTACAGGGTTTCTTTTGGGAGGATGAAAATGTTCTAAAGTTAGATTGTAGTGATGACTGCACAACTCTGAATATACCAACAAACTTTGAACTGTACACTTTAAAAGAGTGAAATGTATGGTATATTAATTGTATCTCAATAAATTTGTAAAGCACACAATAAGAGAAAAAGAATGAAGAACTATAAAAAAAGAATCAATGGGTTAACTTTAGAAAAGAGAGCTGAAAGATAGGAGAAGGTAGACCAAGGTCCGGAGTGCCTGATGGGAGTCAGTCAGCACCCCTTTGCTCCCTGAGCCCCCTGTGTCCAGCCCCATGTGGGATACGTGGGGGTGGAGAATCCGGGTAGACAGGTTGTGCCGGATGACTGCTCAGTGAGGAGACAAGACGGACACAGGGGAGGCACTGAGTCGAATGATGGTGATGCCTGGGCAGAAGGAGGTCAGAGAGGGGCTGTTTCTAACTGTGCTTCTGAAGCATTGTGAAAAAGCCAGGGGTGAGCCCATTAAATTCCTACTTGCTGTGATTGCCTCCCCCACAGCTAGGGATGCTGGAGACAACAGCGTCTGAACTTGGGGTTCCCCTTGGAGAAATCCCTGACATGTCAGGGTTCTCATCACAAAGGTTGGCTGATCCGAGGGTGAAGGCGAGCTTTGCAGAGAGTCTCAGACACCTCCAGCTGAGCTGCAGTTGTCCTTGTCAGGGCCCCTGGGCCTTCCAGATGAGGGACGAGTAGGGGGAAGGGCCCAGGCCTGGGGTCAGCAGCCTGGGCTCTGGTCTAGCTCCACCATTAACTACCTGTGTGGCAAGCTCCTTTCTCTGTGCCTCAGTTTCCTCCTCTGCAAAATGAGGTCTAAGGCCGTGTTGATGTGGTCCTGGTTCATGTCCAGCATGACCTGACACAGTAGGCACCCGAGTGCTTCAGCTGCAGGGACTCTGGATTGGAAATCACCATTCTCACAAATGCAGTGAGCACAAGTGAGTCCAGGCAGAACCAGCAGAGGAACAGCCCAGCTAACCTACAGCATCAAGAGAACTAATACGTGCTTGCCGTTTTGAGCCTCTGAGCTCTGGGCTGGTTTGTTACACAGCAATAGATATCTGTAGGGGATGGTGGTATAGGGGGCAGTGGGGAAAAAAGGCGTTTGCTACCAGGGCAAACCATGCTACCATTATTGGTATCAGCCTGGGAAGGCTGTCTCTCTAATCTGGAGGGAGGAAGAGACGCATTAGCCATCAGCCTGAGAACTTGGGGATCTGTCTTAAGGGACATCATGCAGAAAGAGAATCCAAAGAATTGGGGTGAAGACACCTTCAACTCCTTCTCCCTAGTAGCTCATACAGGCCCATTCAGTCCCTCCCTGCTCCTCCCCCAGTATTATACACATGCCAGATGATAAAATACATGGCTAGTCTCTCTGTAGAGTGGGGGACATGCAGAGACATGCTCTGCCCTAAGGGGCAGTGAGTGTCAAAAGGCGGATAATCCACAATAAATTTCAAGAAATAGTAATGCGTAGTGATAACGCACCCAATGGGCTTTAGTGTCTGACAGCCCGAGTTTGAATCCCTAACTGTGTGACACAGGACCAGTTACCTGACCCCTCTGAGATTCAGTTTCCTCGTCAGTAAATGAGGATGGAAATGTCTCCTGGAAACACAGAGAGGATGACATTGGATAATGAATGTACAGTGGGCAGCCCAGGGCCTGGCGGGCACACAGGGAGGGCTTGGGCACCAGCACCAGGATTGTCACTATCCCTTTGGGTTCTACTGTCTTTGTGATGTTCTCCGGGATCTTTTGGGATGGCAGATTCTTTCCCATCACAGCTTACTTCCTGTGCTGTTAAAACGAGCTTGCTTCCCCGAGCGCACGGTAGCTGTGTGAGGGAGGTGGCCTGGATGCTTTAGGCATGGCCAGCAATCACACACAGGTGGAGGAGAGGTGCCTCTACCCAAATCCTATTTTGTAGTCATTCAGGAGGAGCTGGGACAATAGGAGCCAGACCCCTTAGCACATGCCAGTTGAACTCGTGGGTTCCACCCAGGCCAGCTCAAGCCCATACCTCCTTCCACTTCACCAAAGGTCCCATCTGTTCTAGGTCTCTGGGCAAAATGGTCCTCATGGAAAAGGTGGTTCAACCTCTGTAAGTCGGAAGGGTGAGGAGAGTCCAGTAAGCAGATGCCAACAGGGAGGGCAGAGAGCTTATTCTTCCTCTTAGGGTGGGAGCTGCCATCGTCATAATCGAGATAACATTCACTGAGCACCGACTACACTCTTGACACATGCTAGTTTCTTTCATCTTCACACCAAGCCTGCGTAGTGGGTGCTAGCATTATTGCAGTTTTACAGAGGAGGAAACTGAGGCACAGTGGGTTAAGTCACTTGCCCTGGACTGTGCACCCGTGAGTAGCAGAGCCCCTGATCTCCCACACTCCAGAACTGCAGCTCCAGCCGCTTCTCTGTCCAGCAGAACAGAGCTAGAGAACGTGGGAGCTAGAGAAGCACAGCTGCAGGGACGGCACAACCAGGTGAAATGAGGAGTCAAGGACGGGGGGCAGGGCCCCTCCCTGACGAAAGGACAGGCTTGGCTGGCAGGGCTGCTGCCCCATCTTCCCCCAAGCACCCTTCCTGAAGCCGTGCCTCTCAACGCAATGGCACCAGGGGTATGGGTGGCACACCTCAGACATACTCAAAGAAACAGGGTCCTTTCCGGCCTGTGGGCCATCTAATCTGGGCCATTCAGGCCAGTCTGTTTCTGAGCTTTATTTGAATCAGAAGTCTAAAACCCCTAGAAGGCAGAGTAGTAGAGTGGTGAGCACTCTGCTCAGGAGTCAGAAGGGCCTGGGATCTGCTCTTCTCCAGCTCTGAGACCTAGGACGGGCTCTGTCCTCTAGGCCTTGGTGTGCTCATCTGTAAAACCGGGATGATGATGGTGGCTGCAGCCCAGGGTCATCGTCAGGACTCAAGGAGATATTTGTGGAGCTCACAGCCTGGTGCCCAAAAGGTGTTAGCACCTTGTCTTAGCTAAATGACAGGGCCAGGTAACTAGTCCATACTTTGGCCAAGATAGCCAGAAAACTCAGGCACAAGCCAGCAGAACTCCAGCGGAAGCCCCTGGTCTGGGGGTCCAAGGCTTGGGCTCCCTCATGGGGTCTCAGAGGGAAAGTCTGGGGCCTTGGAAGAGCCTTCAGGACAGTGATGAAAACCCCTTCATGCAGGACTTCCCATTTTTGGAGAATAGCTCTGTTATGGGCTGAATTGTGTCCCCCTCAAATTCTCATGCTGAAGCCCTAACTCCCAGCACCTCAGAATGTGGCTGTACTTGGAGACGGGGCCTTTAAAGAGGGGATTAAGTTAAAATGAGGCTATTAGCACGGGCCCTAATCCAATCTGACTGATGTCCGTATAAGAAGTGGAAATTTGGACACAGAGAGACAGCAGGGATGTGCACACACAGAGAAGACCATGTGAGGACAAAGCGAGAAGGTGGCCATCTGCAAGCCAAGGAGAGAGCCCTCAGAAGAAACCAAACCTGCTCACATCTTGATCTGGGACTTCCAGCCTCCAGAACTGAGAAAACCAATTTCTGTTGTTTCAGCCGCCCAGTCTGTGGTACCTTGTCATGGCGGCCCGCGCAGACTAATACAAGCTCTTTCTTCAAAGCACAGCTCCCCACACTTCCATGCATCTCTTTACCTGGCTAAGGGCTCATAGACCTCCATGTGCAGAACTTGGGGGCCTCCTCTATGGCTCCCTATTCAAGGCCACTCTTGCCAAACCAGGGCCCAACCCCTCTAGATCCTTCTGTAGAGGATCTTAGGAAGTTCCAGTCTTCAGGGTCTGAGAGAGCATCCCAGGTTCCCACTGGGCTGCGGTTGGCTTCTCCATGAGGCAGGAAAACTCAATGAGCCTTCAAGTAGGCCACGGTGCACTCTACGGCCAGACAGGGTCACGATTGAGAACGGGCGTGTTTACCGGAAAGGTACACTCAAAATGCGCTTACTAAAACTTTCTTACAAAGTAGATACTATTCCTTTTTTTTTTTTTTTTTATGTGGGACTCTGATTAAAGAGAAATGAATGTGGTGTCTCATCGGTGACAACAGAGTAGAATATCTGAGTATATCCAGAGTAACTGGATAGTTACGCTGAGAACCACTCTGAAATCACCATCCTGACAGTTGCTGCCAACGAAAACCTGAAGCTCATGCCCCAGTGAAAACCAGAGCTGGAAAGTTCCCCTTTTAGGGAAGCAACTAGCTAATACCTACAAATGACAGATACCGAGGTCACGAGGGGAGGAGGTGTGCTGTCATGTCAAATCGTGTTCCGAGTTACAGAGAAGAAGAAAGAACAATCGAAAGGCAAGACCCAGTTAGAGACAGGTGCGTTTTAAAATACAACCATCTCCTGCGCCTCAAGAAAGCAGAGCTGACATTTAGTTCAGGGGGAGTTTGAGACACCTCAGGTGCTAAACACCGTTACTGAGAAGAATAAAAAAGTGGCCAGCGAAAAGCACAGATGTGTTATCCACACTTGTGTACCCCCACCCCCAGCTGGTCTCTCTTTGACACTCTGGGGAACGTTTCTGGGGTGGCCCTTCGCTATGCAGCCATGACCCCACACAGGCCAGCAGCTCACTTACTTCTTTGGGACCAGTAAATTCGAGTCAGTCCCTTGCTGGGCTCTGCCACCCAGGGGCCTGAGAAGCGCCATCCACTCCAAAGAGAAATCCCCTCCCCTGGGTTGCTGGCACAAGGAATGCAGTCCCACCCAAGGATCCTCCTGGCTTTAATTCACTTTCAAGTAACTTAGAATAGTGCCAGGGCCTTTCATCAAATGTAAAATGAGCACCCACTCACTTTCTTACTGGGAATCAAACGCGAGGATGCCAGGGGGAGGAATGACGTCTTTAAGAGCAGTCAGGGGACCTGGAGGTTCAGACTTTCTGCGGCACGTCTGCTGTCTGCTCAGAGCTTGTTCTTTCCTGCTGCTTTTCCAGGGATGGGCGTAAAGACTGGTGATAAATGCATCAGCTATTTCCAATTCCAGAGCACTTGGGCTTTGAATGCATCAGGCCCAACCTCA